GTGAAAGCGTCACCTCTCAATATTTTATCCGATCGTCGCGGTTAGTATTTGAATGAATAATCGCTTCGGAACACCTCGTACTGTTGTCTTTTTGTATTTCATTTTATTTTTTGTTGTGTTTCAAATTCAAATACTCCACGTAAACTGTCGCTCACATTGTAGATGTAGCTATGAGATATACTCGTTTTCTCCTACAATGAGCACTTTTGTTCTTTTGTTCCCACCAGTTCAGAAGGTTTTCGGTAGATGATTCAAACCTAGGCAACCCTTTCGAGAGAACGTTTTTCTTAGTATCGCAGAAAAAAGTCAAGCGGAAAATGAACTGAAGAAGAAGAAAACCTATTAGACGATTCTGACCTTGAGGTAAAACGTCTTTGCGCAGTTTAAAATCTAGTCGCAGCAGGCATTATCAAAGAAAATATATATTTTCATGAATCGCTTCTACCCCTGAATTGGTGCCAGGAACGAGCAAAATATACCCCAGATCTGAAGGCTGAGCAAGCAATCTTGTCAGCAAAAATAGGCTATAATCCGATAGGGCTAAACAAATAATGGAATTTTGTAGTAAATTCACATTTTCAGTTCAGTATTGTCTTAATTTCTTCATGAGCCGCAATGGGTGATAATTAAACGTTAGCTAATTTTTAATTAGTCAGCCAATATCTTTTTTATGACATCCAGGTAACCGGTTATAAGTATAATCTTCTGCTTGCTGTTGTGTCCGTCTCCTTTCTGCTATCTCGTTCTCGTTCGTTCACTCACAACTAGTTTACTTGGATCATCGGGATCCTCTAATATCAGTCGTTGGTAGTGAAAGAGTGAACGAGTTTCTCAAGGACTGATGAACTAGTTCACTTACTTCAATCATAAGAATCGTTCGATTTAACTAGTTCGTTCGCTAACCACTGCTATGAGGTGGCGTGTCACCTTTATTTTGATTAGCGCACATCACAATATTTACACAATAGTTTTTTAATAGATCCGTTTTCTCTTGTTTGTTTTCTGCCATCTCTATACGAATGACTAGACCAAGTTAATGGTACTTGACGATTGGTTATAGTCGCAGAAACGGAGAGCAAACATCTGGTAGTTTTATTTTGCTTTGACGAAATCTTAAATTTAATTTAAAAGGGAGGCATGTTATCTGGTTCCATTTTCCCACTTGTGTTTTTGTAAAACTCAAACCTTATCGACGTAGTTACTTACTTAACTAACAATTTTTAAGGTATTTACGAGACATCCGTTCAACATCCTTGCAGGACATTGAAAATATTCACGTATCGCAAGTCCAATATTTAGAATACGTATTTACGATATTTGTTGACACAAATGCATATTCATTTTATGATAATTAAACGTCACTGCAGTGTCGTCTGCTGATGACATCCGCAAATAATACTATTTTAACTCTGCACATAGACGGCTGAAGGCGTTTTTGAGTGGGTCCAGGAAATGAATGTATATTGTTTGATGATACAGATACAAAGATACTTTTTTCAGGTGCAGATATATTCGCTACGATACACATTGATTTGTTGTGGACACGCATGTTCCGACTATGTCCATAAACACCACGTATACATAACCGCCTTAATTGATTAGCATTCTGCCAAATGATGAGCTTTTTATGGAATTGTTGGCTACTGTGTTGGGTTGTCTCAACGATTTGTGACTAGGTAGGAGAAGCCAGTCAAAGATTTGTTTGTCTTCTTATTCTCCATCCTATTCGAAATCCTTTGGCTGTCTCTATGATAAAAGCACAGAATATAACTTACCACATCAAGTTGCTATAACCGGCCGCGTGGTGGTGGTTAGACGTCTCCTTGAAAATTCGAGGTCGTATAGCCATTTTATACTACAATGTGTAGGTTGGCTCTTGTTGTGGACTTCGTGTGTCGTTTTTTTTGCCCTCCAACCTCGTTTGCTCAGGTTACACCCGTATCCGGATGTGTGGGCATGTGTATCTACTTTTGTAGTTTCATAAATATGTGCATTCATTTCGGGCCTGATGAAGCCAACCAGCAGAAATACGTATCGCTCGGGTTACCTATCCTATTTTCTGCTCGAATCGACTTTCCTCCTTTTTGCGGATTTTCCCCATTATTTTCCTACTTATATATATATATATATATATATATATATATATATATATATATATTTACATCTCCATGTGGATCGGTAATCCTTTCAATTCCCAGCAATAAGTCACCTACCAGAAATATCGAATATATATCAAATTTGATTCGTGTATATCCAACAAAAAGGCAAACTGATCCAGGATCAGCTCAAAAAACTGTACATTAACATTTCGGATTTTCATATAAAGTCCGCTATATAGGTCTACCTTTTAAAAACCGTAAGATGTGTCCTCTACCGGAATACCCTTCAGATCACAAAACGGCATTCGGTCCCCCAGAATACTCAAATTAACTAAACACCAGTAGATAAGTCATCCGTGCAGTGGTGCCAAGTTTCATTTATTTCTCTTTACATAATACTACTGAAGTCTCCTAACTTGGACTTGTATTATTATATTATTTTTCAAGGATCTCCAATGGATATAACCAAAATTCTTTCCAGCAACTTTGAGTACACTATTTGCTCGATTAAGACTATACAAAACGTTGCTAGCATACGACAGAAGGATGCCCAACGTTTCGTAAATTATAACTTACCTATGCAAAAATTATCAGATCATCGAGCAGCCCACACAATCAAGAATACTTTTTTCTATTACATGTCCAGGAGGTTGTATGAACTTTCAGATCGAGCACTTTGCTTTTCCAATAGCCTATATCGTATCGACGACATCCTAATGATGATAAGCTTTAGACGCGTAATTTCCAAATCTGTGATATTAGCAGTTGAAATACTTCCCTGCCCTCCGGTTCGCAAAAAACAGCATTGAGTATCCTAAAATACTTGAATTACCTAATCACTATACTGAGCCTTACAATCATGTGACGTTATCTTTGGATAAGGAAATCACCATTCATGTTTGGTACCATCTATCTATGAGAATATTCCTAATCTTGAAATAAAATCGTATATCAACGATTTTCTCTAATAGCTCAGACTTAACCATATAGTCACGCCAACCAAAAGCCATATGATACAATCGTCCATCAAAATACCTTCGGATTCACAAAAAAACAGCACTGAGTCTCCCAAAATACTTGAATTTACTAAACCCTGCTAGATCGGTCTTCCGTGCAGAATAAATACACTTCTACCCTACGATTCACAAGAAACCAGCACTGAGTCTCCCAAAATACTTGAATTTACTAAACACTGCTAGATCGGTCTTCCATGCAGAATACTCTTCTACCATACGATTCACAAGAAACCAGCACTGAGTCTCCCAAAATACTCGAATTAACTAAACACTGGTGGATCAATCTCCCATGAAGAATACTCTTCAATACGCAAACCAGTGCTGAGTCCTCCACAATACCCGAACTAGCTGAATGGCGTACGTCTGACGTCAGATCGGTCTCCCGATCATTTTAATTCCAGTCAATAAAGCGCGTGCGCCCGGGGATAGGGTTTGTCGGTTTGTCTAAGATCTGAGAATTCATTTTATTGGCACCAATCGTGCTGGAAGGACGTTCAAATCTGTTGTGTATTCAAGAGTGTGTCTGAAAGGACTGTTGAGGTAAGTATGACTTTTTGAACTCTTATGCAATCGTTAATAGGATATGATGGTAATATGACTGTATTACTTACATTTAATGGAAAAGCAATGAATATTGAGTAGCGTGAAGGATAAAACAATGCTGTTCAAAAGGTCAACCCCCATAAATTTTACGCCAAACTTTATCTAATCTTGTTGGTTTAGTTTTGTATAGGTGATTCTTGAATGTAAAGCTACAATGTTTTTTTTTTCAAGTTAAAGAACAGGGTCAAGTAGATTGAGTGTGACCATACATCACTGAAAATTTAAAAATAGAATACTTCAATCAAAGCTCATTTTGGCTTTTTTCTAGCTGCTGCTTTACATCTTTTTTAGGGTACATACCTGTATATGTACTGATTCCGTTTTTTGCATTATAATACAAAATCACTACAGACTGTGCTTTTGACTCACGGTGTCAAGTAGCTCGACTTTATATGTAGACAATGATAATTTTAAACGGGAGATTGTGTTGATTATTTCCTATATGGTACAGTAGCGGGGTGATAAAATTCTAAATCTAAAATTGCAAATCAGAGATATCATGTTTTACTTCCCACGTCAACGGTCGAGGAAGTATTGTAATCGCAAGATATTTTGAAAGTGAGGTATTATGTTTTGTTGGATGCTATATGACATGCAGATCACGGAAAACCATGATACTCATTTCTGCTATAACGTGGAAAGTACCATTGGGACTTTGATGAAATTTAGACACAAGGTTGCTACGAGGCTATGGACAAGAAAGCTTTAGCTTTTAAAAATAGGTCCAGTGGCGTCAGAGAAAAGGGCCACAAACGAAAAAATAGAAATCGCTCAAACTTTGTTTTTTGACGATTCAGGGGCTCTTGATCATTATCCAAATAAATTTTGAGGGTTAGGAGTTGATGAGGGAGTGAATCGTAATTTCCTAAGGTTTTCTATCGGATCTATTTGACATATCTGACTTTATCAAACATTTGCGTAGAAAACAGGAAATCATACCTATTTCCTGTATCTGTACACTCAAAAATTTCTAGTGTTAATGCATGGATATAGTGTTTAATGATAACACATTACGTATTATTGAGTTTGGTAAAATTTCGAACATCATTCACTGGTATTGCTACTAGAATCAATTAAAAATAAAGTATTTTACTTTGACAATCAACATATACTATTGCTGCACGGAAAAAAATGGCTTGTGGATGTCAGTTCATTGGGAAAAAAGCTAATGACAAAAATTACTCTAATATAATTGGCTTTTTGACATTTTTGAGAGCACTCTTATCAAATATCTTTTCACTAAAAACAAGCATGTTGTATTCTTCCTGAAGATAGTCGATATTGTATATCTATTATTTTTTGGAATGGTATTATTTCTCTAAGTTGAAACGGAATAATTACAAAACAATATATTTGAACTTTTCCAGGGAAAGCCTTTCAATATGAGCAAAAATTGGTTTTGTAACAGAGGTCTATCACCTATCACACAGCATCCAAGAGATGAAGAAAAAGATAAGACTTCTGAAACAGTGATTACTGATTCACGTAAGGTGTCATCTGTGGTTAAACAAAACAGCGACCACAGTGACTGCAACTCGGTAAAACATAAGTATGTTTTTTTTGGTAGAGTTCCCATATTTATGATTTATTCTAGGTAATATCTTCTACATCCCCCAAGATATGCTGTACACCCCCATCATCATCAATATCCGGTTTATCAGAAAATGTTCATTGCAGTAACTTGTGCAAGGACTCTGAGGTAATAATCATTCACTGCCTAGTCTGTGAACTTTTTTATTCTATTGAACCTTTTTCAGTACAACGTTACCTCGAATAACGAGAGCATAGTGGAAGATCCAGACCACCAAAGTGAATCTAGCTCGGTAAAGCAATATTATGTATTCTTTATGAAACATGTCTGATATATGTCATTCATTTCAGTTCATATCTCTTACTTCGCCTAATATATGCTGCACACCACCATCATCTTCTGTAATTTCTGATGCAGAAGATGAAGATTATAGTCCCCACACTAGTGAAGAGGCTGAGGTAAATATATTACTATTATTCTACTCAAGTACCCATTGAAAAATTTGGATTGGGTGGAGTTGTGTAGCCAATCCGATATTTTAATTTTGTAATTTTACAATTTTAATATTTTTCAACTTTCAAATTTTTTGATTTTTCGACTTTCCAATTAATAACTATAACATCTTTTCCATCAAAACGTTGCTATGTGAGGGGAATCTATGATGTTTAGAATGTGTCAAATAGATTGCGAAGAATTACTAGGGATGGAAGTGTATCATTAAACTAAATAAAAAAGAGATATACCCGTCCCACCCTCTACAACCTCCAACTCGCTAATTTTCCACCACAAATTTTTTTCTCAAAAATGATCAGTATCTGAAACAATAAAAAACGAAGTTTATGAGATTTCTTTTTTTGTTTTTAACTTTTTCTCCGCCGGCACTGGAACGCTCTTAAAAACTATATAGGTAGCTTTTCTGTCCCTGGTCTAGTGGTAACCTTCCCCCTCAAGTAATCAAGGACTCGACACAGCAGCAGAGCGGCGGACAGACTGACGGAAATGAGTGATCTACATGTCATATAACATGAAAATACTTTAGAATACTTCCTTGTCAGTTTTCTGATCTTCAGTCCAAGGAACAAGAACCGGTCTTTTTCTTCGGTAACGTTTCATCCACTTGTTGAGATTCCGAATCTGGATGCGGTTCTTGGATTTCTTCATATTGATATAGAGGCTCTGGGTGGTCATTATCCTGCTGCGCTTCTGATATCAAATTCTCGTCCAGATTCAATTCAATTTTTTCTAGGGATTTTTCTTTGAAATGACCTGCCTCGCCCTTGTCTATCAACGTCAAAATCTTGGAGAGTCTAGCCGTTTGGTAGACATCATCTGGTAATCGGTATCATGCACGGTGGATACCTAGTGTATGTCCCATAAAAGATGCGAGTTGTTCCACGTCATTTTCTGACATGTTTAACAATTGGGTCAAAGTTGCTATGACCTTTCTCAGACGGGTGCTAGTCAGGGCATGCGGATTTGTAACCGATGATAGGTTCTTATGAATTGGGTTTACCGAAAAGATTTATGTTCGACACCGTCTGAATATTATCTTTACACTCTAGTTTTAGATTCAAGTGCTCATGTACATCCTTGCTTATAAGAACTGGAACACCTCTGCCTCTTTTTCCACGAATTTCCATTCGTTTGTTAGATCTCATTAGAATTCTCTCGGTTTCCGTTATTGCTTCCGAAAACTCCTTATAGGCTTGATTGTGTTCGTCAGATATAGCGGATTTGTAAACATTTATGGGAAGTCGTTGTAGTTTTCCAGGCCGCCTCCTCTTTAATGAAAGCATCCTACATTAAACTGTCTCCAGTCAAGACGTGCATGCTTTTTCATTACCTGAACTTTTTGTAGCACTGACACCTGATTTGCAGCTACTTTCATAAGATAATCCTTCAATAGTTTAAGATCACTAGCTAATGGAACCAATGTTTGCATTATCTACTGTTGGCAGTGACTCAGATTTTTTTCAAAACGTGTAAAAGAGCCACACCGCAACATTTTTTCAAGGTTGTACCCATGTTCATAGCATATGTCGGGGATCTATAAGCTTGGCTTTCATCATCATATCCTGATGTTAACTTAGTTGCTTTCACAAGTATGTCATATCTATGTGTTTTTATAGCAATCAATAGGGTAATCACAGACAAATCTAATTCCATTAGAAGTCAAGCCACTTCTCCCATTTTCCTAGAAACGACTTGGACAAATTGTAGTTCCCTGTGAAGTTTCAGATATCAGCAAGCATGCGCACATATTATCATCTTTTGCAACTTGAAACTTTGTCAGGTCTCATGCGATGAAATGCTTTTGCTTTGAGCTCATTATCTACCTTTATATTATTCAATAACAAAGTTTGTCCTAAAGTCTGTGATCGTTTGCCCGACGATCCCTTCTCCGGGTTTGCATCACATTGTTTGCGATGACGCCATAAGTTCTTGGCAAAATAGTAACCCATATAGTGGATGCATGATTCCGTTTTTCCACACCTTTTCTAACAGGTTTTACCCCCTCGACCTCCGAAGGCGATAAAATTATGATTTTTCCTTAGAGCAAAAAGCAGTTGTTGCCTTTTACGGATCAAAACAGGTAAATGTAGATATTCAAAAAAACGTTCAAAAAACTTCGTATTTGACGTTTCAGAGAATCCCGATCATTTTCAAAAACATTTTTGGAGGGATTAAAAACTCTTTCGTCTCTGGCCTTCTCTCACTTGCCAAACAACAAGCGACAAAGCTTATCTCTGAGCGAAGTTTTTACTGTAAAAATAGATTTTATTATACCTATTTGAAAAAATGGTGTCAAGTAGGTTGACTCTATACGTCCTACCCCTTAGAGACAGCTTTTAGTGCAATTTTCAATATAGTGCAATCGAGTCTATAAATTTGCTTTCAAAAATGACGGTTACAATCTGAATTTGAAGTTCAGTATAAAGGAGTGATTTTGATGCCCTTAAATATCACCTAAACCTTAGATATCATCTATAAGTAAAAACTTTGAATTCAAATTGTAACCACTATTTTTGACAGCAGATTAATAGATTCAATTGCACTATATTGGAAATTGCACTAAGAGCCATCTTGAAGGCGTAGGAAGTATAGAGTCAGCCTGCTTGATGCCATTTTTCCAAATAGGTATAATAAAATCTATTTTTACTGGAACAACTTTGCTCAGGATAAGGTTCTCCGCTTATTGCTTGGCAAGTGAGAGAAGGCCAGAGACGAAAGAGGGAAATGTGGTTGAAAAACAATGGTCATTCCTTAGCATAGACGGCATGATATTTTATGAATTGATCAATGAAACAACATACAAAATTGAACGTCAATACTAACACTATTCACTGAACATTTCATTTGATACGCCTCCAATGATAAGTATAAGTACTGTCCACCTGTCGCGATGCTTATGCATTTATTGTATTTATATTTATTTTTCTTTTGAAAGGACGAGGAACTGGACAGGAGCGATGAGGCCAGAGACAACTTACATTCGGCAAGTGTCAAGAAGAATGTTACTATACATGCAAAAGCTGAATCAATTCCCACCGCAGAATGTGATCAGTCTGCACCCAGTCAGTCTGGTTCTTCATCAGTGAATACTGGACTGTCAGGAAAGAAGAAAAAAGTTACAGTTTTCTGTTGTTTTTGTGAATGTGAGGTTTTTCATTTTCCACGTCATTTGAAAAGAAACCATACGAATGAAATTGAGGTACAAGAATTTCTAGCTTTACCTGTTTTAAGCCGTAAAAGGCAACAACTGCTTTTTGCTCTAAGGAAAAAGGGTAAATTTATCAACTCTACGCCTTTGAGGGGAGAGGGGATAAAACCTGTTAGAAAAGGTGCGGAAAAAACGGAATATCTTCCATGCATCCACTGTATGGGTTACTATTCTGCAAAGAACTTATGGCGTCATCGCAAACAATGTGATGCAAACCCGGAGAAGGGATCGTCGGGCAAACGATCACAGGCTTTAGGACAAACTCTGTTATTGGGTAATATAAAGGTAGATATTGAGCTCAAAGTAAAAGTATTTCCTCGCATGAGACCTGACAAAGTTTCATTGGTTGCGAAAAATGATAAATTAATATGTGCGTTTGCTTCCCGATATCTGAAACTCCATAGGGAGCTACATTTTGTCCAAGTCGTTTCTAGGAAAATGAGAGAATTGGCTCGACTTCTAATGGAGATAAAAAAATTAGATTTGTCTGTGGTTACCCTATTTGATGCTCTAAAACCACACAAATATGACATACTTGTGAAAGCAACTAAATTAACATCAGGATATGATGACGAAAGCCAAACTTATAAATCCCCCACATATGCTATGAACATGGGTACAACCTTAAAACAATGTTGCGATGTGGCTCTTTTACACGTTCTAAAAAAATCTAAGTCACTGCCAACAGTAGATAATGCAAACGTTGAGGCAGATATAAAAACATGCATCCAACTCATAGAGGCAAATTGGCGATTCGATATTTCAACCAATGCTGCTAATGACCTCAACCTAAAAAAATGGAATAAGGTCACTTTGGTACCGTTAGCTACTGATCTCAAACTATTGAAGGATTACCTCATGAAAGTAGCTGCAAATCAGGTATCAATGCTACAAAAAATCCAAGCAATGAAAAAGCATACACGTCTTTACTCGAGACAGTTTATTGTAGGTTGCTTTTATTAAATAGGAGGCGGCCTGGAGAACTACAACGACTTCCCATACATGTTTACAAATCCGCTATATCTGAGGAACACAATCAAGCCTATGAGGAGTTTTCAGAAGCAATAACAGAAACCGAGAGAATTCTAATGAGATCTTTCAAACGAATAGTAATCCGTGGAAAAAGAGGCAGAGGTGTTCCAGTTCTTATAAGCAAGGATGTACAGGATCACTTGAATCTAATACTAGAGTGTAGAGATAATATTCAGACGGTGTCGAACATATATCTTTTCGGTAAACCTAACTCCCAAGAACCCATTATTGGTTACAAGGTAATCAAAAAGTATGCGTCGTTATGTCAAGCGAAAAATCCGCATGCTCTGACTAGCACCCGTCTGAGAAAGCACTTGGCAACCTTGACTCAATTGTTCAACATGTCAGAAAATGACATGGAACAACTCGCATCTTTTATGGGACATACACTAGGTATCCACCGTGCATCATACCGATTACCAGATGACGTCTACCAAACGGCTAGACTCTCCAAGATTTTGACGTTGATGGAGAAGGGCGAGGCAGGTCATTTCAAAGGAAAATCCCTGGACGAAATTAATTTGAATCTAGACGAGAATTTGATATCAGAAGCGCAGCAGGATGATAACCACCCAGAGCCTCTATGCCAATATGAAGATATCCAAGAACCGCATCCAGATCCGGAATCTCAGCAAGTGGATATAACGTTACCAAAGAAAAAGTCCAGGGTTCTAGTTCCTTGGACTGAAGATCAGAAAAATTTAGTCTTGGTTCACTTTGGAAATCACATTAAATCTAAGAGGGCCCCAAAAAAGGCTGAATGCGATAACCTCATCGCAAGTCATACTGAATTATTACATAATAAGGACTGGCTAAAAATCAAAGTTTTCATCCAGAACCAGTACCGAAAGAAAAAATGAATACCATCTCAATTTATGAGCGAACCCGTTTTTTTAATAAAGTAGAAATTAAGTATGAACATATGTATCACAAACTAAGTATAAGCATTTTTAGTAGTTTCATTTTGTCAATGTATAAATTCAGTTTTCTTCTTATGTATTTTCGTAAATAAAATTCATACCGATATTATTTGCGTTTATCCTTCGCTCCTATAACCGCGTGGTTGTCAAAGCACAAAATGTTGAAAAATGTAGGTCATTGTCCGAAAGCGAAGTTTATGCAATTTTCTCTTCGTTTGTTGACCACTCTGCAACCACTGCAGCTAAAGCGAATTTTTTGTGATTACATTAATTCCCTGCCAATAGGCGCGGTAAGTAAAAGCATATTTTTTAAATTGTAAAACTAGGATTAGCATATTTGTTTTTATTTTATTCTATAGGAAATTGGATTTGAGCATCACCTTTATCATATTTGAGAGTGTTTTTTTGTGAACATTTTTCCTTAATACTACACCATCCTTGATTTTCTATTCATGTGGTTGTATTTGCATAATGGTCTATCTATATTACCCTTTTTAATTTAGCTTGAGTAGCTTTACGCTAAACTTTGCTCTTTGTTCATATAATCATGTATTGTACACATCGTGACCCAATATTCCATGGACGTGAGATTACTAGTTATTTTCAGACTGAGAACAAGTCGATTGCACATAAGTTATCTGTATTCGAAGGTGCTTCGTTAGGGGGCATCAAAGTTTTCTTTTAAAAACACGTTTTCCAAGATATTTCAAAAGCCGGTAGGTCGATTTTAATGAAATTTGGAACACATATGCTCTGCTCAGCGTTCTAATATTTGCCTTTTACGAAAAACTCCAGAGCTTTTTGGAAGGGTGAAAACTACCCCCACACCTACATAAATTGTAGCAGAATTTTTCCCAACTTTCCTCATGACCGATTTTTTTATTTATTCCATCCTTTGTCTCTCATTAAAACGAGATATCTTTCATAGTTTTCGAGAAAAAAAAACCTTTTTTGGGGCTGGTTTCTAAAAAAATGTTTTAACACATCAAGCGTAAAAATCTAGTTGGCAAATAAACGAAGCACTTTTGCATAGAGGTGACTTATGTCAAATCGACTTGTTATGAGTCTAAAACCTGATTGGAAAAACATTTTTTTCCGAAAACTAGTAATAATAATCGTAATCATAATCATAATCACAACCATAATCGTAATCATAATTATATTAATAATGATAGTAATCGAACAAATATATTATTGCTGCATTACGGTACTCTCGGTCACGGACGCCCCTATTATAATGCCTGACGGCGAACTGGGCCGCACCAGACATAGAAAGGTGAAAAGCCGATCCTCTAACACAGCAAATATAATAAAATACCTAATACAGCGATGCCAATATTAAGGAGGATCTAAAAGCGATAATCTGGATACTGAATACCCGGCAGATGACCGATCCACTGTAGACCTGACTGGTAATATTTGATAATATACGGGCTGAATACCCAAGCGATCGTGAGTCCACCAAATCGGCGCGGCAAAACCCTGAACTACGGTACCCAAATTCGGCGAAAAACATGATCTAGGTCATCCCTCTGAAATTTTGCCAGGTGACAGAGGGGGGCCTGAGGGGCCGATAGGTGGAATTTGCGATAGGTCCTCCTTATACGGAGGACCTATCAGAGCGGAGGACCTATCGACTCTAAAAAGCCCATGAGTGGAGGACCGATCCATCAGAATCTACATATATATATATATATATATATATATATATATATATATATATATATATATATATATATATATATATATATATATATATATATATATATACGAGTATATATATATATACGAGTATATATATATATATATACAGGGTTATCCAAATTAAGTGTCCACCATTAGTAACTTTGTTATTAGTGAAAATACAAAGTTGTTTGAATTAGCAAACTAGTAGCATTTTTAACTCTGGTAAAAATGAGAAATAAAAAAAAACAATTGAGAGTCGTTATTTTGATTTTTTTCAGTAAAATAACATTTTTTTAAATGGAAACCCTGTATATTATATTTTTTTCTGTTAAAGCATCAAATTTTAAACAAAAAAGCTTACAATAACTTTTCTCCTAGGTTACAAATTGTTGAAGTTCCAATCTGAAACAATTAAATTGTATCGACAAACTTTATTTTCAACATCAACTTATAATCTTACAAAATACAATAACAATTTTTTTTAAAGAAGATGCTCGAAAACACCACCTTGTTCTTCAATACATTTTTGGGCACGTTTTTCACCTGCTCGAACTGTCTTAAGTATGGTCCTACCATCTATCTGGGTTATCTTTTCCCTAACTGCAGTCTTTAACGCGTCAAGGTTATCGTACCTTCGCTTGTAAATTTGGTTCTTTAAGTAACCCCACAAGAAGTAATCAAGTGGGTTTAGATCTGGTGATCTGGGAGGCCACTGTATTGGGCCATTTGTTAGTATCCACTGATCATTAAAAGTAGTACTTAGAAAATGATAAGTACCTCTGGAGTTGTGGGCAGGTGCGCCATCTTGCTGAAAATGCAGATGATGTCTACTTATAAGATCCAATTCGTCTAAGAAATTAGTCAGAATTTCTGACATAAATTCCACATATCTTTCACCAGTTAGGGTTCCCTCATAAAAGAACGGGCCAACAATTTTTGAACCAATTATACCGCACCAAACGTTGAAACTGAAACGGACTTGTGGGCCTCTTGGATGTACTAACAAAAGATTTTCTCTTGACCAATAATGGTGGTTTTTTCTATTAAACATTCCAGAATTTGAAAAATTTGATTCATCTGTCCATAAAAGGTAACGAAAGTTATTTACATTTTGGCGACAGAAGCTAAGATACCAATGGCAAAAAACAAGTCTTCTCTCTGGATCCCCTGCCAAAAGCGTTTGAACTGGTCGGTACTTATACGGAATAAATTTGTATTTTTTTAAAATCCTTTGAACAGTACCATAACTGAAATTAGAGTCCTTGAGAATATCTGCTATTGAATTCTCACGATATGCTTCAAAATATCCAATAACTGCAATTTCCGTGGCCTCGCTTATTATGAATTCTTTTTTTGCCCTTGTTTTAGCAAAAACATTTTCGTTGCCCCTAAATTTTCGATAAAGTCTCAGAAAATATCGTTCATACGGTTGAATGCGAGCGGGATATAATTCACTCTTGCTCTCAAGGAGGATTTTCTGCACACTAAATAGCATTCTAGCATATCACACTTTTCTTCATGGGAGAACATTTTTCTTTAAATTAATGACACAATAAAGCTTATAAACAAGTATTTACACTAATGTTTGACATTATTTGATTTTATCATTGTTTTCCAAAGCCTTCTAGTTGCGAGTATGTCCAGTTTAACAATTTGTCGCTTATCTTAATGCTGTCAAATCGCGAACGCCATGTTGTTTTCATAGCCGTCTTAATATTATAATACTGCAAATAATTAAAAATATTTATCGTTATTTTGACTTTATTTTTGACTTTAGCGGAAAAGTCATTATGAACTTTTTTGTTTAAAATTTGATGCTTTAACAGAAAAAAATAAAATATACAGGGGTTTCCATTTAAAAAAATGTTATTTTACTGAAAAAAATCAAAATAACGACTCTCAATTGTTTTTTTTTATTTCTCATTTTTACCAGCGTTAAAAATGCTACTAGTTTGCTAATTCAAACAACTTTGTATTTTCACTAATAACAAAGTAACTAATGGTGGACACTTAATTTGGATAACCCTGTATACGAGTATATATATATACGAGTATATATATACGAGTATATATATGAGTATATATATACAGGGTGCGCCATCTTTTATGTCTGTATGTAAACATGAAATAACTTTGAATACGAAAAACTGATTTCTATATATCGGGTATTTTTATTAAATATGGTCCTTTACAATTTATTGGGACTAGATTTTGAAGACAACATCTATCGGGTGGCGACCTTATTGGCCAAAACAAAATGTGCCCGTTTTGCTGCGTTTTCCATTACTTTTTCGAGCATCTCTGGTGGTATAGCGGCGACTGCGGTACGAATGTTTACCTTGAGTTCTTCAGTGGTCTGGGGCTTGCTGGCGTAAACTTGACCTTTCAAATAACCCCACAAGAAGATGTCCGGTGGGGTCAAATCTGGAGACCTGGGTGGCCAGTCAATGTCACCTCTTTTTGACATCCAGGGAATTTTCGTTGCAGAAACTGGGTTGTTTCATTTGCATTGTGGCTTGGCGCACCGTCTTGTTGAAACCAGTAACCATCAAGACCTTTTTCAAGTATTTGTGGGCAGACATAATGAGCCAACATCCACCGATATCGATTTCCATCGACTGTTTCGTTTGGACAAAAATGGCCCAATGATGGTTTTGGCGCAAACGCCGGTCCAAACAGTAACTTTCCGGTCATGCAACGGCATTTCGTGGATCTCATGTGGATTTACCGTCCCCCAACTGCGGCAGTTTTGCTTATTAACGCCGCCAGAGAGCGTGAAATGGGCCTCGTCGGTCATCACAATTTGCTTCCAAAAATCAGGTTCAGCATCAACCATGCGAGCGACTGTTTGGGCATATTCCAAGCGACGTGGACGGTCAGTTGGCAATATTTTTTTGTGTTTGCACCTTATAAGGAAAAACATGCAAATCATCCTTCAAAATGCGCCGCAACGTGGTTCCACTGATGCCAAAATGCTGAGCGCGGTGGCGATACGACACTTTTGGGTTCTGGGCAACGCTGTCTCTGACCGCTTCAACCAATTCATTGGAACGTCTTGGCCGTCGATGAACGGTATGTTGACGATCTCTCATTGTCCCGTACCCAAGAAAATTCGAAACCAAACGACGGGTATTGTTGTCAGACGCCTGTTTGCTACGATATTTTCGACGATATGCACGTTGCTTTAACACAACTGAACGAGGATTTTCATTGTACATTGTGACTATTTCGGCGCGTTGTTTCGGTGTAAAGAGATTCATGACTAAAATTGTAGTAAATTGACGTTTCAAAAACACGTATCATCAAATCATTCGATTGGTAAATAATATCAAAGTCATTCGATGTTTCAATACCGACATAAAAGATGGCGCACCCGTTATATACGTATATATGTATATACAGGGTGTTCCATAATTATTGCGACAAAATGATAGGGGTTGTAGAGGGCATAAAAATATGCAATTTTGCCTTATAAACCCCTGTTCGTAAATATGCCGTTTGAGCACTACCGCTAATTTTACCTTAAGAGCTTATAGGAGAAACAAAAAATTCACCAGCTGCAAAATGTTCGTCTAGCACATTTAATTTATCTGAGTGGTGCGTCAAACTAGATAGTAAATAACAGTACCTTAGTGTTAAAAAGCAGCGTTATTCGTATGCGGAACTTGCGGATATGCATTTAATTTACGGAGAAGCTGGTGGTAACGGAAGATGAGCCTCGCGAATCTACGCCTAATGGTTTCCAGAACGTCCTCATTCGCATCACGCCATTTTTGCAAGGATTCAAGGACGTCTTCGTGTCAGTGGCAGCATCAGACACCACGCGGGAGCAGGGCGGCCCTTCACGAGGCGCACAGTAGAATTTGAGGAAGCGATTCTGCATCATGTAGAGGCCAATCCGCGTACAAGCGTGCTTGCTATTGCACATGATATGGGAGCGTCTCAAACTACTGTTTGGCGGGTTCTCCATGACCAGCAACTACACCCATACCACCTTTTAAAAGTCCAAGCCATGGGTCCAGAAGACTATCTGCCGCGTCGACGTTTTTGTCGTTGGTGGCTGCAGCAGGAGTTGAGGCAACCAAACTTTGGTCGCTACGTTTTGTTCACTGACGAGTCCTGTTTTACAAAGGACGGTTATTTTAATAGCCGTAATAGTCACATTTGGGATGAAGAAAACCCTAATGCCATAGCCATCCATAGAGACCAACATCAGTTTTCAATTAACATCTGGTGCGGCATTGTGGACGAGCATATCATCGGGCCATATTTGCTTCCACCACGTTTGGATGGGCATTCTTATGGTCGATTCTTACAGCATGTGCTACCGGAACTATTAGAAAATGTGCCACTGAACATAAGAGCCAACATGTGGTTTCAACACGATGGCGCTCCAGCACACTTTTCTTTACAAGTGCGGCAGTATTTGGACGACAAATTTCCAAATAGGTGGATAGGCCGAGGTGGCCCTGTCACCCGACCTGACCCCACCGGATTATTTTCTCTGGGGCCATCTGAAAGCTTTAGTGTACGAAACTCCTGTTCCCAAAGAACAAGAGCTACTGGGAAGAGTGATGGCCGCGTCCGCACATGTTCAGGACATACCGGGGGTATGCCACAGAGTTCGCCGATCATTGAACAATCGTGCACAGCTGTGTATTGAGCAAGGTGGAGGATACTTTGAGCAATTACTGTAGGTAAGCTGTTTCAAGAAACTGATCTTTTTTTTTGCTGCAGCCCAAACGGCATATTTCCGAACAGGGGTTTATAAGGAAAAATTGTTCATTTTGATGCCCTCTACAACCCCTATCATTTTGTCGCAATAATTATGGAACACCATGTATACAGGGTGACTTCGAAGTTGAGTCATTTATTTTAACAGTGAGTAGATCTGATCAAAAGAAATGTTGTTTTCCTTTAACATTTTTGTGGTAAAATTAAAGTAACAAAGTTATAGCCCTTTAGAAGTTTGAGTACCGCCCTGTCTCAATAATAATATGTGCTCGTGTTTGGCAACAACGGATATAATCGGAAACAAAAAAGCGAAAGAATTTGAAACGCTTCTCACGATGTTTTATTCATTTATTTTATTCAGTTGTATTCATTCGATGTGTCAGTCGGTAACGCGTGAGTGGTGTTTCTGCGTCGCTCAAACGAAATAAAAAATGGCACATGTTTACGAAAATGCTGAACTTGTGGACATGATTCTGATTTTACAAAATGCTGCTACGGCAACACGGATTTATGCGGATCGGTTTCCCAATCGAGTGCAACCAACCCCTAGTGCCTTTGTTAATGTAGTACAAAGGGCTCGTGAATCAGGTGACTTAAGTCCTCACACGGGAGGGTATGTGCTCCAAGACCGCACGATCAAATACAGGTCCGCACTGAAATACTTGTCGGGAGGATATTTTATAAAACAAGGTAACATTTTTATTAATTTTTTTTTTAATTTTTACACACATATTTTGGTTTATCTTCCTTCTACAATCATTATCTGAAAATTAATGACTCAACTTCAAAGTCACCCTGTATATTAATATAGTTCTTGAGGAGAACATAAGGATGCTGTCAAAGTTCTAAAATATACAGTATATTAGAAAAAAGTATTTTTCGAATAACTTATATTAACCACTCAGATAGAAAAATATTGCAAAATACGAGGTCTGTTAATTAAGTGATGGGACTGATTTTTTTTTAAATTATTTTATTGACAGAATACTACTTCGGTAGGCCTGCTTAAATTTGGCAAGACTTTCCCTCGCACTGTGCCCAAGTCTGAAGCGAATCCTGATAACACACCGTTGCTCGAAATTGATGTCATTCACTTTAATAATAGGAAAAACTGTTTGAAAAAAAAATCGCTACCGACAACGAAATGGCTCGAGCTAGTTCAAACTTGTTTTGAAGGGGGATCACATGTTCCCCTGTCTCCCCTAAAAAACCAGCGGCGCCAGTGTGGCCAGATCGAACGTCACGTTGCCAGTTTCATCACTTAATTTACACACCTCGTACTCATTGATATGGAAAACATTGGGAATATAACAAATAATGATTAGAACTAACAAATATCTTCCTCAATTTTATTGTCAGACAACACTTGTTGGCTGTTGGGTCGCATTATATGTATGTTAAATACACAATTTTCTTCAAACCTTGCGTGCATTAATTGCATTTCTTTAGAAACATTTTGCGACCTCAGTGGTTTCTGTAAATGAAGGGTATGATTAAGATGTAGTCTACGCATTTTTGTTTCAAAATACTCCTTTCCAGGGTTGCAACGATTTAAATCGAATTATTAAAATCATTATTTAAATCAATCAATTTTTTTAATTCAATCTTGATTTAAATCAAATTATAAATTGCTGGAAAAACAAGTCGCCGAAGCAAATAACCATTGATGGGCGCATTGTATACCCCATGTATAATACACCATTGTATACGCGTATACAATGGTGAATGTATACGTCTCGATATTCACGTATAAAATGTATATAATGTATACAATAGCAAATCATAGTTCAACTACTGGCATATAGTGCTGGTCCCTTTGCCTTTTAGATTTCTATGTGTACGAGGAAGAGAGACAGGGGGTCAAGCGGGCACCACTTGTGTAGAAAGAGTGCGCCACACACCACGTTGCCTGGCACAACAGTGATTAAAGCCACAGAACACAACTGTAACTTGCTGCAACGCCTTGTTTCATACACCCCAATATACATTTCTGTAAAATCTGTTTGGGATCAATTCCAGATCGATCCTAATGGTTCTCCGATTTTAGGTGGAACTGAAAGTTCAGGATAGATACAAATTCTGTAACATTGCATTATGGGTTTGACTGTGGAAGCAGGTTATAAATAATAGAAAAATATATAATATTTATTTATAAACGTATACAAAGATACAGTTTTTAATAAATTAAGAAAAACAAATGAACCCTAGTTCATCGATTTCTTTGTTCTTGGAGCGTCCAACCATATTTTTTTCAGTTCAATGTATACCAACTTTCTGACGTTTGCGAATAAACCTAACCTCACGTATGCTATTCTATACATTGCCTTCATCATTGTATACATTGTATTCATTGTATACGCATTGTATAGGTACATCGAGACGTAGACAATTAACGTATACGCGTAAACGCCCATCACTGCAAATAACTGAAATAACCCATCAGCAAATTCAAAAAAGGAAAATAGTTTATTTAAAACTAAGAGTCTACCTACATTATGTAAGATTAAAAATATGAATCATCCCCATTAGTCCATCGTAAATATTCATGAATTAAATTTAAGAAAATACAGTTAACAACAAAAAACTAGTTTATAGTTTATAATATTACCTTCATGAATAAATAAAAATTAAACAAAGATCATTCCACCATTCAATGGTATTGAAATATCAACAGTGAACAAAAACGTTACTCAGGCTAACCTACAAAAAACAAACGCAAGATATGTTTGAGGAAGTCAATTATGATACTTATACAGGAAAACTAATTTAGCGGCTTTTTCGGGTCCCAAGTGATTTCGAAGTTATCAATACAGAAGACATGTGTCTTTTAATAAATACTTATGCACAGAAAACCACTGAGTGAATTTCACCACCTTTTTGAGGATTTAAAATTCTGATGTTGATGAGGTTCGAGTACCAACAGAAACGATTGCAAATTATGGTAACGCTATTACCCTGACCAAGCAGCTCATTACCCTGACCAAGCAGCTAACCAGTTTTGTCGAAAGTAAGGGAAATACAGAGCCTTTGGAGCTTGCTTCTAAATTACAAATACGATTTCAAGATGCTATTTAAGTGACTTAGTGAATTTTTATTTCATTGTGTTACTACATATACCTATGTATGTACATACATATGTACATACATAGTATATATACATATTATTATGTGGGTAATTGTCAAATTTCGCACAGGTAAAGTAGTCCCTCAACTGTATTATTTTTTTATTAGCGATTATCACATAATCTCATAGAAAGTTTACATTAAACATAAAATACGCAGTATTAATAAACACTGGTCACTAAAACAAAGGCTTAGCTGTGAGTTTTTTATTTTTTTTTCTAAGTAACATTGTGGTAATATTTAGTAACAGAGTGGTTTTCCCTCCAAACTTTATATGTTCTGATAGCTCTCCGTGAAAATAGTGTTCGAAGAATTTCATTTTCTACTGTATAAACCAACCTTATGAATTGTTACCATCATTGTTAGTATTTTTATAGAATATTTCTGAAAAGCCATACGTATCAAAATTTACTCAATAATTAT